TCAACACGGCCTTACTCCGTCCTTATCCCGCGATTTGGCCCCCCGCTACTGCATTATCCCGTGCCCCACCGCGGGGTCCTCGGTGTAAGTCCGGACATTGGCCGGAATGATGTCCATCCAAGTCAAGGAATAAAACAGACCGAGGAGAACGCGACGACGCATTTGGAAAGCTTGTCTTGGGACGAAGTTTGCTCTCTGCTCTCTCTCGTCTGAACTGCTGCTTCTAAGCGCATTCCACTCGCCATGTCTGCCGCCACTGTCTTCGATTCGACGCTCTTTGGCAACATTTTTGGCACAGAGGAGGCTCGCCAAGCCTTCTCTGAACGATCTTATGTTGCCAATCTTATCAAGGCCGAGTGCGCTCTGGCCGAGGCGGAAGAAGCTGAAGGTATTGTGCCGGGTGGCACTGCTGCCGTATTGAGGGAGCATTGCAATGTCTCCAAAATCGACTGGCAGCTTCTTGCAGCCCGCACAGAGATCGTGGGATATCCGGTACTGCCTTTGGTAGAACAGATGTCGAAATGGGTTCCCGAAGAGACTTGTAAGTCTTGGCTGACAATTCCACAAATGGTACTTCAACTTGCTAAAGCTTCAACCTCAAGCTGGTTACATTCACTGGGGTGCCACAACACAAGACATCATGGACATAGCGTCGGTACTCCAAATGAAAACTGGTCTTGAAATCGTCGAGCGCCTTCTGCGCAAAGTCACCTCCACCTTAGAGACAATGTCCGCCGCTTACAGAGATGTACCCATGGCCGGCAGGACGCATCTGCAACATGCCCTCCCAATCACTTTCGGGTACAAATGCGCAGTTTGGCTGGCTGGCTTCCGCAGACACGTGAAGCGTCTGGAACAGATCAAGGAGAGCTGCTTGCTTGTTCAATTCGGCGGTGCTGCTGGTACCCTTGCTTCCCTGGGCACAAGCGACAGTGGCATTCGCGTGCGCAAGCGACTCGCAACTATTCTTGGGTTGCAAGACCCCATCATCACTTGGCATGTGGCGCGCGATACTGTTGCTGAGATTATAAACTACCTTGCCCTGGTGGGTGGTAGTTTGGGCAAGATTGCCCTTGACTTGATTATCATGTCATCAAACGAGCTGAATGAGGTGAGTTTATACCTACTAGCTCTTGAAATGGGTTGAGAATACTGACGCACACTTCACAGGTTGCCGAGCCTTACGTTCCCCACCGTGGTGCCTCCTCGACCATGCCTCAAAAGCGCAACCCCATTTCCAGCGAAGTGATACTCGCGCAATCGAAGATTCTGCGCGCACAAGCCGGCCTTGTCCTCGATGGCATGGTCTCTGACTTCGAACGAGCCTCCGGACCGTGGCATCTAGAATGGGCTGCTATACCTACAGCCTTTATTTCGATCGTTGGGTCCCTCTACCAAGCCGAATTTGCCCTGTCGGGGCTGCAGGTCAATAAAGATGCCATGATGGCTAATCTCAAGTCAACAAGGGGCCTGATCGTAGCGGAGGCTGTCATGATGGACCTAGCAAAGTACACCGGCCGCCAGGAGGCGCACGAGATTGTTTACAAGGCGTGCGTCAAGGCACACGAGAACAGCATGTCACTGCAGGAAGCATTGGAAGAGTCATCAAAGGTGACGTCTCACCTTGCTTCGCCAGACCTCGCAAAATTGTGCGATCCTACAAGGTACCTAGGATGCTGTCAATTGATGCTGGACGAGCTGTTGGGACAAAGGGAGGGGCATGGTAATGGAGACGGGAAGGACTTGAACGGGGACAATGGGATTGCAGATACCATTGGAATCACCAACGGCAGCCGTTGAGCTGATTAGAGAGACAGATAAAATATTTGATTTAGACCCCTTGTGAAGACCTCGGGAGTCAAGTTGAAACGTTTATTGCTCTGCATTGCATTCCCAAAAAGCCTTCAGCTTCTCTTCTTGCCTCAGCAGTGACCAGCCCATGTGCGCTTCTGACTTTGCGAGAATATCAAGCAATTTTTCCTGTTCCGCAGGCTCGTGAAATAAATGACCACCTGTGTGGATAGCAGATTGTCAACAACCAGATGTTGCACTGGATCAATACGAGAGCCGAACTTACACATAGCAACCGTCATTCCCGCGGCTATGGTTGCTGGCTGCCACTCGCCTGCCGAGTGTGCAATACCACAAATTTGGCGGATCAAGCGACGAATCTCTTCTTCAACAGCATTTGAAGCCATAGCCTTGTCGAGACCAAGTACAGGCATACGGGGGTCGTGAGTCAGCAACATTATCTGGCAGATAATGGCATGCTGCTGGCCAGCAACTAGGTAGACGAGGAAAGGTAAGTGATCACTACCCATACTCATGCTAACCACAAGAGCAATGAGAAGCACTGGGACTTACTATGAAAATCGTTGGCAAAAACGATCTCAGGAAAAGTCTCGCGATCAGAGCCCGTTTGCCACAGAGGATTGAAAGATGCCGGCCTCTTCTCCATCCATTGATGTAGATAGGCACGCAGATTCTCCCAAGACCCGATGGACCGCGCGTCTGGGCCGTATGCAAACATCAAAACATCCTCAGTAAAAGTGATGATGCGCCACGCCCAATCGAAGTCGGACGTGGGCTCAAGATTTCTGGTGATGCCGCATCTCTCTGCAAGACGGGGTGGAGGGGTACGTGCTACAAAAGAAATGAAGATTTCCTGACGGATAGCCACTAGCAGACATGCGCGACATAGACTATAGTTTGGATCATCGGGAGACTCCGGTAGAGTAAAAATGTTCGTGTCTAAAATGTGCCCATACGGCCGGTCATCGACAGACGGGACTGGCTCGACTCGGTCAACAATCAGGATAATGTGAAGGCGACCAAGTAGACCGCACCTGTCATTTCCTCGTAGAGTCGCAGGATCATAGTAATGGCGCATAGAACTCCAGTAGTAAAGCCTCGTGCCGACCCTGGGTGTGCCAAAGCCGGGATATATGATTGTAGGCATCTTGCTTGATAGTCGTCGGCTTCTCCAGGAACCCATTTCTCGGGCTGTGTCTGGCTCAAATGCTTGCATGAGATTGCCAAAAGGGCGTTGAGAAGAACAAAGTGGGTCGAAGCCGCTTGCACGATGACCGTTCTAAAGTGACGATCTTTATCGCAATAGTCAAACTAGACGGGGATCAGTCTATCAGATCAAAAGCGTTGCGCTCTTGCTAAAGGTCAATTGACAGTATGTACCCAAAGTGAAAGATGATTGATAAAATGCTGAATCAGCAAGACTTCTCGTTTGTCTCTCAAAGGCCATAGAGGATTGCATGGAGGCTCTTCAACATTGCAAGGGTAAAGTGACTCAGAAGTATCTGGCTCAGGTGGTTCTGGTATCTGAATTGCTTCTCCCACCTGGAGTGGCTCGGCGGATGTAGCGATAATCAGATTGGCAATACTTGGGAGGTTGAGGGGCCTTTCAGTAGCACTTGTTTCTTGCGGCGATTCTTCTCGGTCTAGAGCGATGCTGTCCGCTGAGAATACAACTACACAAGTTTTAGCTACCTGAAGAGACTGTACGTGGTCCAGGAAACCAGTATCGTGATAGGTATTAATCTCACGGGTAGACGGTGTTGATAGCCAGACTTGATGAGCTGGGAAAGGAACAGCTCGGCTGTCCTCTGGTGACTCCTGAAAACCATCTATGGCCGGGTTGTGATGATGGCGAAATGTTATTCGGGTGGTTGCTTTGTAAGTACACGATTTAGCAGCCTTTGCGCAAGGGGAGCATGTCGGACTTGGTGTGTCGCCTAATCGGATGGCCTTCAGTATTTATGACTCTATAATTTTAGACCTGCCGATTATACTTGGTACCCGACCTACATTTCAAGTGAAGCCGAACACATCGTAAACTTGAGAGGGCGTTAGCACCATCTTGAGACGCAAAAGGAGTTGACGTTTGATTTGAACGTACCATGACTGCCGTTTGGAACGGCTGGATCCTCTTGGCGGCGTCTGGTCACGCTGTTCTGGTTCATAGGCCCCTGTTCGAACCTCAGATGAGCTGATGGACATCTTTACTGTCAATACCGGGAAGAAATGATACAAAATGCTCTTGACATGATTGATTTTGCTCCTTGTAAAAGACATGTGCGTGGTGCCGGAGAGACCGTCTCGATTTTGGGCCATCAACGAAAGCCGGAAAGGCAGGTGGGGCCGATGACATAAAAGGCAATTTGGCTCCGATCCCCCACTTGGGATCGGAGCGATTTTACCTTTCTGAGCTTCACACCACACACCATCACAAGCAGCTTCAGGTCCCACCAGTTGACCCAACACCATGACATCAAAGCCAGCAACAGGGGACACGAGGTGACAGCCCCTTTTTAGGACAGCCTAGACTTCGTTTAACGAAAGTCTTGAATAATAAACAACCGTCTTTGAGCCTGCTTGACTCTCTCCGTTCAAATGTGAATATATCGATTCTTGTTCGTGTAAAGTATGTAGCGCACAACTTGCGCAGGGTTCCTCGTGAAGCTTGAGAGCGGAATAGTCGTGCATCGTAACCCGATTATTGTATGACTAAACACTTGCAACTCAATAAGCCTTGGTGTCTTAGTTGCATGGTTGTTAATGGCCGCCAAATTTAACGATTCATTCAGATGAGAACCAGCCCGCGTCGCGGGGAGCCATTTTGCCTCAATAGCTTCCTTGTTTTGGATGGGACTTGGGAGTAAAACTTCACAACCCGCTGGTCGGAATAGCGGAATAGTGTTGTATCAAGATGACTAGCACCAACGAGGGTTTAAAGGGGGAATAAGATGGTTTATGGTGATGAGCCCTGGAAAAATCGTTACAAACTATGCAACTAACAGGTATATATGACGAATGTGCAATAGGTCCGGCTTTCGGTAGCGATGCAGCCCCGGCTCATCACTTTCTCCACAACACCACCACATAATCGACGAGCGCGTATGCCTTTTTCGGGTTTCGAGTCAACTACACTCTTAGCGAATGCGAATTCAACGCTGTCAATGATGCTGAGCGAAACGGGAGGATGAATGGACAGGAAAATCCTTCCGGAGGGCAATCTGGACAAGTTTGGTATGCTAATCCGGGCTAAAGAGGAACCAAGAGAACCCCATTGGATGATCATGTTGCTAATAAGCTCAATAGTGACCGCTGCCGGCGGTAAGTAATTCTTCAAACAAAGATTCATCGTACTTCTATGGCAAACTTGGTCCATTTGATTCCGATGCTCAAGGCTGACTTAGGCCCTTTTGCTTTCAGGAGGAAAATTCGATGTCATGGCGATGGCGAAAAGGTAGGTTGGCTGTCTCTCCTACGCAACCTGCTCACATCCAGACTTTTGAGACTAAATAATTGATAGTGCACGCCTTGTATCACTGGAGGCGTGGCCTGCATTGTGTCAACGAAGTTGAAGCGTAATAGAAAGAGGAAGAGGTAAGTTACTAGTATATAGTATACAAAGAAGCCGAAGAATCCGCGACGGACTAGATCGAGTTGGGCAATGATTCCTTTGCTGACCGTCGCTTCTAGTTACTACCAAAACGAAGGAACTGAGGAAAGACATGACGATTCCGCAGCTTCAAAGACTCCTGAAGCTCATAGCAGCAATGTTGACTCGGCTTCCCTTTCGCTCCCTCAAGACATAAGGAACTCGCAACAAACAGTTTCAGAGCACTCACATCTGAGCACGCTCACAGGAAACGCTGGTCTGAGGACTTCACCATCATGGCAGCGAGGTAAAGAGGCTGTCTCAAACGCCAAGTCGAGGTTTGTGCCGGAACCGGTGATCGGCCATATGGGCCGACTAGTGTCCAATGACGACCAGACAGCTATGTTTGCAGGGTCGTCTACGGGCGTGCATTTTATCAGCCAGGCTGAGCAGCAGTTACAAATGCTACGAATCCACACCGAAACATTCCCAAGCAGCATCTATAGTCTCTATCTTCACAACATATGGGGCCCATCGCCCAAGGGTTCAGAGTCGCAGGTTGTCGCTGCTATGATCTCCCAACTTCCGCTTGATGCTGCTAGTATCCTCGAGGCAACCATCGACTGCTGGACACCGTTGTATCCGATTGTACATAAACACTCCACAGTTGAGGCTCTACGTCGGTTGAATGGTGACCCCGAACACGGCGATATCAGTTTCTTGTATCAGGTTCTAGGTCTACTTGCTCTAGGAACATTAGGACATCCAGGCTCCTGCGTTCAGAGACATCGGCATTTTCTTTGCCTTTCTGAAAAATACTATGCAATGTCCGCTGCGTTGACGAATCAGCTCCAGGAGCGACCGTCTTTACCGACGCTCCAAGGGCTAGAGATTGCTCAGATCTACCTCCAGCTATCATCTCGCTACTCAGCTGCGTCGCAACTAGGAGGCATGGCTACAAGAATGGCACAGAACCTTGGACTTCATCGCCACTCCCAGAGGTTCAAATTCGATCCTTTGGAGACAGAACTCCGGCGGCGCGTGTGGTGGTGCCAATACTCTCTTGATACGTAGGTATTTGGAAGGTCGGCCTGCTTGTTGTGTGTCTTGACTAATCTCTTACCATCAGATTCTCCAGCGCTTACCACGGAATGCCAAGATTGATCCGCGACCAGGACGTGGACACAGACTTACCCTCCCGTGTTGACCACGACCAAGTATCGCGTGAGAGCGTGGTGTTTCCCTTACCCGGCGAAAGATCCCAAGTCGACACGGCTCTCTGCATGTTCAAACTCGCAGTCATTGTGGGAGAAGCTCTAGAGAAGCTGTACTCGACGACTAGACGGCGCGGCGGGATAGCCAAAATTACACAACTGCAAGCTGAACTTACATTATGGGAGCGGATGTTGCCGACGGATAAGGTTGTGGACTTGGAGGATGATAGCGCAGACTTATCACCGGCGATTTCGATCGACACCTTTGAGGTGGCTTTCCTACGCGCTGCATTTTACAACGCCACGGTGCATGTTCATCGGCCTGCACTTGCTTTCACAACAGCTGATCCTCAGTTTCAAGTTTCTCTGCAAGCGTGCGGTCGTGCTTCGGCTGAGCTGATAAGACTGACTGCTACGATCATGTCGGACTCGGTCCTGGAGATGGATGCCGCGAGGATAGATCCCATCATCGTCGCCCATCTCTATCCAAACGGGTTGCACATGTTGTGGCAGGCGGGTCTCACAATATTATTTGCGAGGTGGAAAAGCCACCCACTTGCTGGAGATGAGGAGGCAGAGGACTTGGTAAAGACATGCGCTACAACTTTACGTCATTTAAGAGCTGACGACTCCAATGGGCACATCAACCAATGTGCCGATGTTCTCGACATGCTCCGGACAAAGACCTTTTCAGCTGGAGAACCCCAACAGCCGGTACTTGACCAGCTGCAATGGAATGTCTGGGACTGGCCCATGGCATCGGCGCTAGAGCTCGCAAATACCTTGGATGCGATGCCATTGGATCTTCAATTCGAACCAAGCATGGGCTTATGAGATTTTGCTGTCCACTTTGGCTGGCTGGGTGTGGACAAAGCGGCATGAGCTATCGCGGCATGGATGGCTTCCGTCGGTGTGCCCCAAACTTCAGTCACATTACTGAACGCGAAATATGTTGAAGAAAGAAACATCAAGTCAGCTTTGTGAACGCACTGAGGGCTCTAAGGTTGATGAGTCACAGTCGGGATATACGAAAAATCCGACGCGATGTTCGTCCTCTTCCCAACGAACATGACATGAAATACACACTCGGTACTACACACCAGCATTTTCTCTCCGGCCTCTCTTTTTCTCTAAGTCCGTGCGGGAAGATTGTATGCGTCGGTCCCAAAGATCTGGCACCTGTATCGTGAACCCGCGGTGCTCACACACCAGGGTCCTGAGGGTGATCCGATCAGAGTCTGGGAGGGGCCCATAATCTTATCGATCAACTTATCACCGCCGGAACACCATCTCTCTGTGTGTTAGAGGCCAGCTACCACTGCCTACAAGTTTAGTTGTGCCGATTGATATTCTTTGATTGGCCAAGTCGGTGTAGGATGTCACGAAAAGAAACCATTGGGAGCAAAGTTGAGAAATGGGGCGTAAGATTCGTACCAGGCTAAGCCCAGCTTGCAGTCTAGCTCGCTTGTCTAGATGAAATGTCTATGTCTCTATTTCCTCCCAAAAAATAAAAACGAATAACCCAAACTCCTTTCCAAATACTGCGACGGGGGAATAGAGCGCCAAGTGGCGTCGACGGCAATCAACTCCTTCTAATGTCCTGGATGGACGACGTGCGGATTTCGTCACGCCGGCAATGCAAATGGCTGTTCCAATGCTCTCAGGATGGAGGAAAGCTCAGTTGTTTGCTGGAAGACCCAGCGGTGGGTGTTGTCGAACTGGAGTGCCCTCAGGCCAAATATCTTGCTGAGACATCATTCACTCCTTGTGCAGGGTACCGGTCACGTAGTTCTCAGCACCGAGGGCATCGATGACAGCCATGTCCTCCTGGGAGAGCTCGAAGTCAAAGGACTCAAAGTTGGACTGGATGCGGTGGGCAGTCAGGGACTTGGGGAGGACAATGTTGCCGCGGGTAGCGTTCCAGTTGAGAAGGATCTGAGCAGGGCTCTTGCCGTACTTCTCGGCGATCTTGCCAATGGTGGGGTCCTCAAGCTTGTTGCCGCGGGCGAGAGGAGAGTAGGCCTCAATGGCGATGCCGTGCTTGCGGCAGGTGTCGACGAGGTCCTGGCGCTGGCAGAATGGGTGAACCTCGATCTGGTTGACGGCGGGGACAACAGTGGTCTCCTGAAGAAGCTCCTCAATGTGGTGGGAGCTGAAGTTGGAGACACCAATGGAGCGGACCTTGCCGAGACGCTGGGCAGTCTCAAGAGCTCTCCAGGAAGCGAGGCGCTTCTCCTTGTCATCTGAGGGGGAGTGGATGAGGTAGAGGTCGAAGTACTCGAGCTGGAACTTCTCGAGGGAGTCGCAGAGAGCCTTAAAGGTAGCCTCGTAGCCGTGGTCAGCGTCCCAAAGCTTGGTGGTGACGAAGACTTCTGATCTGGGGGTGTTGGTCTTCTGGAACCACTGCTTCAGGGCACGGCCGCAAGCCTCCTCGTTGGCATATCTGGCGGCGGAGTCGATGTGACGGTAGCCGGCGTCGAGAGCGGCGATGACGGCGTCCTCAGTCTCCTGGCCGTTGGGGGCCTTATAGACACCGAGAGCAATCTGGGGAATTTCGTTGCCGTCGTTGAGGCGGACGGTGAGGCGAGGAGAGTCGCAGGGAGAGGCGTATCCAGAGTCTTGGCGAGTAGGCATAACCTTCTCCATGCCGAGCTCAGGCTGACGGGTAGCGAATTGGGCGGCCATTGTGAATGATGTGAATGTTGTAGTTGATGTTGAGAAGTAAAGAGTTGTATTGGTGTCAAGAGAGGAGGTTGTTGGATTGATTGAGGCCGTTGATTGAGATTGATGTGCGAGTGATGCTTCCAAAAGAAACAGCAGATGTTGCCGAGTTATACATTCCTTTTTATCCTTATCGACGTCTCGCTCTTTGGACCTAACTACTACAATTGACTTTGATTGCCATTTTCGGACCGATGGCGTCCTCTGTTGTCGCCAGCCGCGGACCCGCCGTGAATGTCCCGTCTGTGCTGGGTTGATGCCCCCCGTCTTGGAGGGGACCCGTTCTCCAACGTGCTGCCCCGTACGCCGTACAGATTATTGAGGGTCGGTGCCTCCTTGCGAGTGCTTGCTGTTACTTGGTGTTGAGTCGATATCTCAATGTCGATTTCGAGTCGGTGCCGGCGGTTCCTAGTCGGTATTCGTCCGTTGTCTCAACGGTACCAGGTTGATGCTCCGTTATCTCTGGGCCTTTGACCCGCTGCTACTGGAGCTAATGACGTAGAACTTCTCCGCCGATGCTGGACCGCTGCTCCGCCGGTGAATGGGCCGATGACGTGCCGTGTCTCCGCCGATGCTGCGCCGATGGACGACGTCCGAGTCAGGGTGCCCTCGGTCTGTCTGACGGTTATAGGGTGTCTCTTGCAGGAGGTGGAGGCAGGCCTCAGTTCGCTATTCCCACCGCCAAAGCTCCGAGAACTGGCTGCTACACTCGATTCATGTGCGACATGTCTAGCGGAATAAGCGAGGTATCAGATGAATTGACTGTTCTGAACCTTCTGCTGTGAGGCTCAACTAAAGGACTAGATCGCATTGTTGAGCCTCAAGATTTTCGGCGGCTGTGGCGAATATCGACCTCGACATTAGCGCAAATCTAACACTCAAAGTGAGAAATTTTACGACGCGAGAGAGAAAAACTGGAGCCCGCTGCAGGAATCGCTGTAGTGATACCAAATTCCTACGAGCCAAGCCTCGAGGAACCAAGGTACTATATTCGGTCAATTATTCCCGAGGACAAACTATCCATATCCGTACACTAGGCGCCGTTTCAGCCGCAGCCGGATAGACTTGCGAGGCATCAGCAATCGGCATCGACATCGAGCTGAACGATACGGGGGTTCGGTAGGCGACGTTTCCACGTACATACACGCTGGGTCGGCTTGCAAGACTCCTTAGGGAAGTACGTACAATATCCTGGGTAAGGTATATTGTGTAAAATGGAAAAGCCGCACTAAGCGACAGATGCAACTTGGCTTGTTATGACGTCAAGCTGCCGACGACATCACGGTGGAAGTGGACCATTGTAAAACGAGGTGCTTAGCTATGCCCCATCAGAAGATGGATCTCTGAAGCCCAAGGAGTTCCCGCAAATACTCATGTTGAGTGTGAGATGCTCGGTGCAGGTACGAGTTCAGGACACCGGAGTCCACCCCGTTAAACGAGCGTTGAAGCCATGGAACAAGACTGCGGATACACTACAGAGGACGGATGACATGGCATGGATGTTGAGATGGGGTGTGTGAGGCAAGATGAACGCGAGTCGCGACTTTTGCCATTTCACATGTACATGGGCAATGTATCTCGCATTGTTGAAGGGCAAAGGCCGGGCAAGTTGTTCTAGCGTCTTGTCGCTTGGGCCTTTTGGGACAAAACTTATTCATCCCTGCCACACATCGATGATTGGCCCTGCCTTCCAGCAAGACTCAGGAACGTGGTTTCAGACTTTTCGCTGATGTCATTGGATCCTCTGGAGGGTCCTGATGTATTGTGGTCACTGGCAGGGCGACATTGAGGGAATCCGGGAGGTACATGGAGACAAGAGATGAAAGCACTGAGGAAGATGGAGGCATGTTGCCTGCAGGACCCCTATCGGGAGTGTTCGGAAGGGCCCGCTCTTTCCTCAGCCTGGGCAGCCAATGTCAAGGTCTGTATCAATGGGTTGCCTCTTCAGAAGTTCTGTGCGTTTGTAACAGCTTGATAGCCATTGGATTCTGCGCCTTGTCTTATCGGCGGAAGTCCATCTGTCCTGTTCAATCTTGACCTAGACAGCTCTATGTGTCATTCCTGGATGCGTTGTTCGTTGTCGGTGTCGGTGTCGCCAACGGTACAGGGTGTTCTTTGCCGACAGTAGAGATGATCAAGGATTGGCCGACAGAGTTTTCTCAACGTCTCAACTCTGAGCAACAATTATCTGCGAGGTAGAGAGATAGCCAACGGAGGTACGGAGTACACCGACTAACCAAGACAACATTAAATCAAATGGCAAGATCGGCTCCGAAGGCTAAGGCGGTAGGGCCCAGTGATCAACGACTTGTCCAAAGAAGATTTTCACATGTATGCCAAGTTGACAGCCAAACAGCCCAGCAAGTTGGAATCGCCTACTACGAACCGGGTAGTAGATCGGCAGGAGACGCCCGGATTGTCCTCTGGTCCGACGCAAACACACACAGAACAAGTATCCCGCGCCAAAAAAAAAAAAAAAAAAAAAAAAAAATTAGAGACACAGAGTCTTCTACAATCCCTGTTTAGAACTTCGGGAATGTCGATGAACATCGATGGATGCCGGACGACGTGACCCCCTATCTATTTCGCGCCCTGAGACAAGGCCCTATCAGTGACCCACGCAAGGCTCCAGTTTATCTTTTATCTCAACCAAGGCGACGAGCACTTTTTCCCAGCCTGGCGTGATTGTGGACTACAATACAGACTTTCTCACTGGACAAAATGCCTCGTAAAGTGGACATGAGCTGCACTAACAACGAGAGGAACCGCCCGATCTCACCGTGAGAAGAAGATATGATAGGGGTATCAAGTCGCAGAACAACAGTAGGCAAGCCGCAAGCCAGGCAGACAGAGAGACGATCTCTGGTGGAGAAGGGATGCAAGGTGGAAAATATCGCCCTCAGCTCTCGGCACGGTGCATGAAGCAGTCAAGCAGGTAGACAAAAAAAATCTCAATAGAAGCTCGTCTTATTGGCGGTGAAGTTGACCTTCACACCGATGAATGGGGCCAAAGCTCCACCACACCGGCATGACATTGATAATGGATTTCGCTTTCCAGTCTTGGTTGCTATGACGGCCATCTTCATTGGGTGATGATCTAAATTTCAAACCTTTACTGGACGCTGAACCCTGGCGAGGCTGCACAGTCAAACTTGGTTTCATGAGGGATTTCACGCCCAATGTCGTAGGTAGTAGCCTCCGGCAGCGGTAAGATTACGTCTTAATGCATCGGGATCAGGCAATGAGGCCGGTTTGCGTCTGGACGGCGGACTGAAGAGGCTGGTCAATGGAAAAAGAGATACCCGCAAAGGTAGCCGAGAATAATAGCGAAACAGCGCCATAGAACTCAGAAGACCTTTCCCAATCGCTGTAATCTACCTCTATGCGAGTTGATACCGTCTGCGCCCGTCGTTGTGAGCAAGCATGCAGGATAACGCCTCATCCAGTCATATTGCAAACGTGGCAGCAACTCGGCGTATAGCTCTCACTCGTATGCAGAAAACAAAGATAACACAGGATTGCATCAATCAATGCTCGACATCGCACGAGTCAGTAATGGCGTCAGCGAGGGAAACTCAACTCAAGGGCTGCAGGGAAAGAGATGTAAATCATCTCGACTAATGTTACGGCACCGAAAATGGCAACCTTGGTTTACATCATTGTCGGTCAGACTCGGGAAGATGAATCACGGCAGATCACATTTTTGAAGAAACAGGAAATGCCTCAAATTTCCAAGATTTTGTTGCTCGATCCTGGCCAAGATGGTAATTCAAAAGGATTTGGGTATTTCCAGAGTAGTCATTGGCGTGCACTGTCGAGTCCGAGTCAAGAACTGAGGTAAAAAGGCATCAAACGCCTCATGCTTTCACAGTCAGCATATTTCATCAACCCCACAGGGAGTTGTCAAGTATGTATCACGATAGCTTCAATCCCTGGTAAGGACCACCATAAAACCTCAGCGTCTCCGCCGACCCCGCGAAAGACGTCGATCGCTACCGGAAGCTATCACCATGCATGCGAACTATGGTAACTGCGGCGCCTCATGCTTACCCTCAGCACCGTACCAAGACTAAGACCGCGGATGTCATGACCTTGGCATCAGACTGGAAGCTTGGGCTAGCAACGGTTAATTCAAATAAGAGAAGGTCATTGTCCTAGGTCGCAGCTGCTTCGCTCGAGAAAACTTCCGATTTTGGACTACGAGATTTGATGATGAGTACATCTAGCACAAGCCATCGGTAAGCTACTATGTGGGCTACCTGCAGATATCTGGAAAACAAGAAAGATTCTTAGGACCACTGGCATGTTCCTCCGAGCGGCCAAGTAAGTTCAGAGAGCTTCAGGCGATCAATCTTGATCTCTGTCGGGTCTTGGCCATTTCGTATGCACCGACAAGCTCGATCAACCTTTGTGCCTATTCGCAATCGTCTCAAAAGCAGACATTGAAGCAGAATCTTGAAGTCCCATTTCTGAACCCACCGCAAAGTGTCACCAGCGATCGCTCCATTTTTTGACCCACGATGTTCAGACAACGGGTTATATGGAGAAGCCTGATCGTCGGAATGAGGCTGAACGGCGAACGACGTGCGAACGAATAGTACTACGATGAGGTTGACAGCCCGAGATTATTCAGTCAGAAATCTTAGGAACGTCCATCATGCATTCAATGATAAGGTTTATGTCAATACCTGAGAATTCAGCATAAAACTTTATCTGGCGACCTGCGAATTCTTTGTCGTTTCTCAATGGTTTTATTAGATCACGAATTTCTCCCGTTTCACATTCATGAAGTAGAGAGTATCCAAATGAGCGGTGGCCGGAAACAACGAGTTCCCAGAATCCCACAGAGAAGTAGTAAACAAGTCTGTGATGAGTTTGCAGCTCAGATGACGATTCTTCCTACAATCTGCACGAAGGTTGTGTGTGATGTCCTGCCGCGCCAAAGCTGTCGACTACTTTACCTTACATGTACCTACCCACGCGGTGGCAAGATACGATGGCCGCATTTTGGTGCAGGGAAATTCAAAAACCCGGCCGTCATATCTTAATACCGCGTGGTCCTACCTTACTTTGCAAATTAGTGCTGTATGAAGCTCAACCGCCATGACCTCTCGGACATGCAGAGTAGCCATAGGCAAAGATTGAGTGGCGCTCGCTGCATGAGACGGGACACGGCGGCATCTCGGTCAAGATGTGGGACTCGATGAGGCTGGAATAGAAAGGATCGTCGGCTTCTCGAAACCGTCATCGGCGAGGGTGGGGAGGTTGTCGTCGGCTACGGCCTGGTTGGAGTACTCGGGACCGATGTGGGGTCCAAAAGATGCCGGAGCCGCGTGTTGTGATGGCCAAAGGCCATATCAGCACGCATGGCGTCGTAATTGTGCCGAGGTGCTCTTCGCTGCCTTACAGGCCGTTTCGTTGGTCACTTCTCTCAACAATTCGATTTGGTAAATGATCAAATACTTACGCCTACTGCAATGCGTTCCATTTACGGAAGGTAACATCCAGACATATTCTAGGACAGCCAAGACCAATTTGAGCAGATTCTGAATAGATACGGCTGCGAATTGATATGGGCGTAAAAAAGACTATTGCGCAATCAAGAGAGGGAACTCCGTTCTACTGATCTCTGATTCTGTATCAAGTCATAAGGGCGTATCTATTCTGTCACGTTGCGCTGGCATTATATTAGACAGCCATCGATCTGTCGCTTTGCGATAATAAGTCAGTACTTAGGCGACTCGACGCTCAACGTGGCTTGAAGACCGTCTCGAAGACGATGCTCGGCAAGCCAAATACCCATCTAACATGTCATGTCTTTTATCCAAGCCTTCTGAGCTCTATGTCACTGAATTCTCTACAATCCACGAGGTTCAGAATGGCGCTCAACATTCCGTGTCCGCCTTCGGGTTAGCCCGTCAACCAAATTGGCACGTGGACTCATGTTCCATAGCTGGGCCTCGATCCGGGACTTTTCAAGGAAAATTGAAAATCGTAATGGCTGTGATGCCAGGAGTCTTGGAAGCGTGTCAAGCACAGGTAGTTTGTAAGAGAAAGAGAAATACCAATTCTATCATTAGCCGTCAGAACGCTGCTCAAGACCGACAAGTCACATTATAATGTTAATTTATCAGTTATGGCATTGCCTTTTCGCATGCAGACGTATTTGCTATAGGGAATAGCAGGAAACCAGGCATTATCTTAGGATTTACCATGCTATTCACCTATGAGTCCTATTCGATGTAAGGTACTTAGTTAAGAAGTTCGTTGTTTGAGGAATTGTAAATGCATATATCGACGTCATTTCCGTCGTCGGGATCAAAACGATTGCGCATCGTTCGAATCAATTTAGCCAGTCTCGCTTCCACAAGAGGTTTCCGTGATGTGAGATCAGAATTGAACTGATGTGCCATGTCCCGGTTCTATCATACTACTCCCTCATTACTGTTCTGAGCTAGAATTGTAGGCTGGGAAAATCCAATATGGAATGTTCAGCCCTCATTCACCGAGGCATTGATGTTGTGTTATTGACTGCGAATGCTAATTCGCATAAGCCCGTAGATATCTAATGGGTTTCTGGGTTGTCCCGACTGTCTTTCTATGACTGGACCTTCCTCTCTTTGAAGTGTATGGCCCATGAACCAACTATCGTTTTATTCAAGTCGGACCTCAGAGTGAGTGAGTGACGTCCGTGATCTAAACCATGAGTTATTTGCAGATTAACGGCTTACTACGGAGGTAAATCCTGGTTTGAATGTTTGGATTGGCCATCACTAGCTCTCATAGCTCATTTCTCAACTTGCTCGGAAAATCATATGCATTACACTCATTTTCCATGTGTGGAGAGAAACATTAAACTTTCAACCAGAAACAACGTCAAATACAATCTGCAATTGCATTGCGGACAGAACTTGAGCCTAATAGCCCACCTAGAATAAGGATGCTTGACGGCGTGATGATTATGTGAATTCTCTAAAGGTGCAACATACTCCCTGTACAAGCTCTGCCTGCCAAGGGATTGCATGGTATCTCATGAAAGTATGTATATGCGATTTCCAATCTTCTGGACGGATGTATGCCTGAAGCAATGCTTAATTGCAACGGTTCACGCCACAGTGGGGATGGCGTTCTTGCCATGCTTGTCTTCGACCGACTCGATGCCTCCCTTTTCCTCTTCCACGTCCACGGGCCTAATGCCAACCTCAGTTTCAGTGAAAGCATCGGCGATATTCCGGTACCTCGGGACAAAATTAACGGCCAACGCATATGACCATGCCAAGACGAAGAAGATAAGGGGGATGACCATAGCGATGCCCATGCCCTTGTGATCGGCAACGACGCCAAGCAACGGAGGTACAACTGCACCACCAGATACACCTGAGTTACATGCATTAGATAGCGAACCAACGGTCCCGACAATGAATGGAACGCTTACCTGCAATAATGAAGCCACTGCCCCGCTTAGAATGCCTGCCTAGGCCTCTCATGCCGAGAGCCACAATTGTCGGAAAGCAAATAGACTCGAAGAAAAGGACAATATAGAGCATGGCCATGCCGGTATCACCCTTCTGTGTGATGGAAGGGGCAATGAAGATAATACAGGATGACAGGAACGCCAAAAATACCCAACGGGGCTTGATATAATGCATAAGACCAACTCCAGCGAAACGGCCTATCGCGAAGGCGGCTTGGGCGCCAGCAAGAAGTTTGGAGCCAAGCGCGTTGTCGGTGTTTTCGCGACGTTCTGTCACATAGTTGATAAAGAATCTGGAACTATCGTTAACTTTTGAACTTTATCCGCTCTAGACGAAGATCAACAAACCCCGCGATGGCTACCTGAGCACCAGTGTAGCAGAACTGGGCGAAAGAAGCGTGGAAGAGACGGTATTGCTTCCTGAAAGGCTTATCATCGACGTTGGCGTGCGTCTCAGAAGCTTGGAAAGCCATATCAGCATCGGTGATTTCGGGAATTCGAGCCAGCCAGAAGACGATCGCCAGCCCCCAGACGAAGACGGCGATGGAGAGATAGACCCATTGAACATTCTCCAGAGCACGTTTGTCGTCAAAAGCGAAGAAGACGTACGATCCCATGACGGGAGCCACGACAGTGCCGATACCATTGAAGGCTTGAGAAATGTTGATTCGAATCTCGCTGTACTTAGGAGGACCGCAGACGGTGATGTACGGATTTGCGGCTGTTTCGAGGGAGCCAAGACCATTACCGATGATGAAGATGGCGGCACAGAAGCCACCGAAGCTCTTGGCGATAATGCATGGGATCGCAATGAGGGCCCCCAGGCCGTATAGGAAGAGTCCAAAAACAAAGGTAGCTTTATAGCCCCAGTGCCTTAAGATCCACGCCGCGTGCCCGAGGCTGGCAATGAGATAGGCTCTGTCAGGCGAGAGTCAGCATCCATGTCTATGACTGCACTGTTGCAGCCCCCGGAAGCCATGAGGTATCCGGGGACTACTGGTAATGGCAGTGCGCGATTGTGCGTCGCTTAGCTGAATGCTGTGTAAACGCATGGCAGTAGACGCCGATGTAGACACCGGCAAGAAGCAAGTCGGCGAATCGCTGCCTTCGCCGATTGTTCCCGTGTGAGAGGGGGATTGTGACGACGGACATACCCAAAGTAAGCAGCCTGCAAGCCAGAGGACCTAGCCCGGGTGATGTGAAGTGTATCTTGAAAGTGTTTGTTCAGAGTGTCGAGAAGGCCTGATGATAAGATTCTTAGCATTCATATATGTGATCGTCAATTGTTGTGTTGCTGCAACATACCGTAGGAAAACCCCCAGAGGAAAAATAGGATAGTGACAAGAACAATGGGAAACAGAGATTCCTTTAGCGTCAATTCGGCAGCGTTCGTGCGGACGTTATCCTTCTGGCGCAAAGACCGTTTGCGGAAGAACTCCTTGATACCCATCTTGCAAGTTTGACGAGGATGATCGAGCGCCGTGTTGCGCTGGGTCTGGCGGTGGCACTGAGAAGATATTGGAGTGATCGCGACCGTTGCGGTCTGGTGGGAAGGTCAAAACCTCAGTAACGAGGCGGGCGTAGCAGTAGCCTTTGGACCGATGGACTGCAATTGGCAATGTGGTGAGACGCGTCCGAGAACAAATAGAATTCTTCTGGAACGAGGAGACCCGGGTCAGACGAAAGCTTATAAGAGCTCAAGCCGGCCGCATTTTCGGTCGTTTCGAGCCTGATCTTCCCCTGCACGAAAGCGAGATGGACATGACCATCCTTGGCTGCTTCTTGGCTTCTCCATGGTTACATGGCTAGCAGTCCCCGATCAAGAGACCAGTCGCACAGCACTACGGGTACTCAATTCCTTGCTGTGAACAAAAGGCTCGGGTGGAGCAACGGTCTTCTGGACTGATCTGGGGTAACGAGCGTTTGGAGAGGATTGCGGGGATGGTCACCGCATGCTCTAAGTCGCCGGGGAAGCAAAGATGGCCCCATCCATGCTCGGTCGAGGTGCGGGGTGAAGGTTGGAGCAGCCAGTTGAAGAAGACGTGGTGGATCTCCAGAGAGAATACCGGTAGAGAGGACATCCTACGGTAACTCACAGAGAGTTCGCGACCCAGCCTTGGCATGTCCATCATTTGCTCGATGTGGCTCCAATTCCCCCGAATCAACAGCTTGGAGGATGGCCGTCAGACGAGGGTAAGTGAGGTGGGGATTTTAATCAGTCTCTATGGTGGTGATTGGACATGGAGGAGGACGGCAGTTCATCGAGTCTGGGGTAAATGGTCCGGGGCTCGATATAAAGATGGACCGAAGGACGCTCATATTGCGGAGTAAGCGGATGATCATTCGCTCGGCGGACCGATTGGCGTAAGGAGGCCGGTTGGTTCTCTGTCAGGGCCGGGGGGGCTATGTGACATCACCTCCTCAGTTTGTTACACTCTTCGCTCTCGTGATCATTACGCGCTACTGGCTCAACTGATATTCACGTGGAGAGAAGTCAATTTACATGAATTCCTAATAATACTGAGTGTTGGCTACCGCGTACTTCAGCTGTCGGGGCTAGACTGGGAGCAGACGAGATCCACCGTCAGCCCCAGAGACTCGGGACTAGTGGTCCAGTCACATCAGCGACACAATCTGAGGGTCGAAAATCCGGTTTCAAAAAACTGGAATCCCTTCTGCAAAGATTCTACGCGTCAAAAAGATATCAGGCACTCCCATGGAGGGCGGTCCAGCAGCGGTTATATTTAGCCACATAGACCTCCCCTATCAGAGGTAAGGTAGGACAAGCTAGACCTTCCAGCCTCCATCCACAATCGCGGGATGGCGTGTTTGGCGCCGCTAGCCGAATGCCTCTAACCAGACTTTGGAGTCGTCGGTGCTCCGAGAATGTCTGAAGGGATCGGACGAAGACTGGAACGACCGATGCAAAAGTCTTTATGGATATAAATTCCAACAACAAACAGGTCCGCCATCGAAATGTTCCGCTTGGCGCTAGACTCACCGGAGACAGTCGACGATCACTCGTTGATTGCCGATAGCTGAAACGAACTTAGGCTTACCAAAGACGACAGGACGAGAGGAACTCGATACTTTACCGTGGGGTTGCGAGACCGCTTCGCTGGCGGACTGATGTCGAACGATATACGAATGTAGATGTCTTTACTGCCAAGCTCATGGACACCTAAGTGACTTGAAGTAAGCCAAGGCCAACTTCAATTGCTGAAAGTCGTGCTGCGAGCAATCGACTGAACATGACTCGCAACAGCGTCGAATTCTTCGGGACTTGGTTCTCTTCCGATATGGTCACGTGAAGGTTACCACGGAGATGTTCACAGCTGCAGCCGACTGTGACCAGTCGGCGCTCCCTACTGACAGCCGACAAGACAAATTCGGGCTATCACCACAAAGTATCGTCAAATAGTTATCAGATATCAACGCCAAGATAGGGATCATTCGCTTCAACGTCTCGAGATACAGATTACAAAATGATTTAAGGCAGGGTCCTTATAGCTTATTAATCCCTGGAATAAAGCCGGAAGTTCTCCATGGTAACCATCGGGCTATCATCTGCTACGTCAATAATTTGTTCTGAAATTTGTCCGGATGAATATGGCAGGGCCTCCAGAACCGTCGTCCCAGACAACTTAGGACTACTGCAGTGGGAATAAATTACAAATACCTAAGAAGCAGTCTACCGAAGTGGCAGACTAACTGCGCTTAGGCGAACAGCGATGTGTGGCCACATAACCTTTCTTACATTTAGCCCATGATGACGTGACGAAGTAACTAGGGAAAGGTTTCCTTGGCCTGAAGTGTCTCGCAGACGCTTACATCAGGAACCATGTCTACTAAGTTGATTACCTCTGTAATTCTGCTAAGTTAAAACCACAGCTACAAAACCAAAAAGGAAAGCGAATCTGACATATTTGGCCCAAGGGTCTAACTACCTATTCCACAATTTGTTCCGGGAATGGGGGGCCATTTGACCTGTCTTTAGCGAAGTCTCCGCAGATCAAGTGAATCAGTTGCTTTTTGATAAGTGTCTAAAACTCGCATTGTCTTCTTTGACTTCTAGTCATCTACTGATGCGCTTGTAGAGAAGTAGCTCTGCTAGCTGACGACATCGAAGATCAACATCATCCATATTTCCCCTCTGCAAGATATGCAGGTCAACGAGTCAGGCCGAGATATCATTCAAATCCTGTAAAACTTGCTCTAGCTCCTTCTTCATAGGCTCTCTAAGCTTGCTTGTACTTAGCCAACCTACTTCATCTCCGTATGGCAGCACGGGGGGGGGGGGCAGCCTTGGTGCGCCTTAGCTATACTGGTACCTAATTCATGCAGAAAATAAACCACACCAGTGGTTTCACATGCGCCGTTCTAGGAAATCAAGCATCCTGATCTTGTATTAGCTCAGTGCATCATTGATGAACGTTATTGCAGCAATTTTGCACCGTCTCGTCCACCGACCTACTATAGGTAGTTGACCAGCCATCTTACTGTGTGAATAGTAGATCCCAATCCGAACTCGACAGAAATTCACCTAGTGTTACCACGCACATCAAGCTGCAACAATCTAAACAACTTGTTCCATTTCTTAGTTTCTATATTGAGGCTTTTGCTTCCATTCCAATCATAGGTTATAGATAGCGGAAGACTCTCGAACTATAATTGCCACCCAAGCTATCAATACCGAAAGTAATCAATACCAAACGCGGCTTGAGATTCAAGATTCTTCCTTTTAAAATTATCTATAGATGGTTCTCGCCAGATGTAAGTAGGTGGCGAAAAGACATGAAGTATGTACAGTCTTCTTGCTGAATTTTCCTCGAAATAAGACCTCTTGAAACACAGAATGCTCTGATTAACCAAGGCCCGAAAATTTTAGACAAGTTCATTTTCACTGAAAATTCTACACGATGTATATCATACGCCGCATCATGCAACACCCTGCAGGTCAATACAACGGTTGTTCGACGCACAGTGATGAATCAAGGCCTAATACAACCGGAGAGAGGCCGGGCATTGCCACGCCGTCTCCCGAGTGCCTGCTACGCGGTCAAACTCCGGCCGTGGCCCATTCAGGCCGGCAGACCCCTGATTCCGGCCGAAACGAGATGCCGGTTCATGCATAGCGGGAAGACATGCTAGCTCGATGCAACACCGTGCTGCATGGTATCAGAGTTTACTATAGCCTAGTATCCCATGCCATTCCTTGCTTCGACCCCTCGCTGTCCTCAGGGTTGGGTTCTACGCAGTAGGCTCTAGCTAGAGCCATATTCATTACCTATCAAGAACGGAACTGGGTTAGAAGAAAGTCAAAGATCACTACTTGACCCATGTACGAACAGAAGCGTCTCTTCCCATCAAAATGTATTGCAGAACTGAGTCTGCTACGTTCCAGTTGGACCAAGCAACCGACGGTGATCGAAAGGGGCAAGCAGAGGAGCAGAACGCTATTTGTAGCAAACCTCGATCGTCTGAGTAGCCATTAATAGAGGTGGGATTCTATGATTGAAATATCTTCTTGCTCATAATAACACTATGAAGTGTCACCTTGGCATCACTGTTGAAAGGAAAATGCTGGACAGCTTCGCTGAGGCTGCCGGTGAGAGGGACCCATGTTGACGGCCACCCCGACCGTATGAGTATGCAAGTTTTCTAGAGGCCTTCTAGATTGAAGCACAAGCAACATTTTTTTACAGATCCGGACCCAATAGCGCACAGAGTCAGGGGCCATGCGCAAATGCACTCATGCAACAGTGGCAATTGCATATTGTTGAGGCGGTCTTGATTGGAGGATTAAGAGGGATCGGGTCGCCTCTCCTGAGGAACCATCACCCAGCACCGCCCAGTCGATGAAGGCCGGCTTGGCCTCTTATGTGGTGTTGTGTGAACTCGGTCTGTCCTGACCTACGGATCAAGCACGTGGGCTCGGGGACGGCGAAGTGTTGGGCGGCTCAGCCGAAGTGGGGTCCAATATAAGCGGCGCGGGAACGGCTGGACCTTGAAGAGCCGGATCACAAGTTTTTCAACTGCAGGGTTACGAGCTATCGATTCCGTATCCTCGGGTCACTAAACCTCGAGCGTGACTTCGGAATGTCTCACCATAGCTGAAGATCCGTCAGGCTCGCAAATATTTTGACAATGTTGTGACGTACAGCACTTGCGGCGCATCAGGCGCTGGACTGGAGCGCCGAGATTCTTGTCATCAGGGAGGCAGAAGCTTGGTTCTGTGGCAAGCTTTGCCAACCTTTCACCACTACCATGGAGGGCGTTCCTTCAATACCGATCGACAGGTTGTAAGTCTTGGAAGCGTCCTGGCATCGGATACCCGACTTGGCGATGAACAGGTTGTGAACCTCTAGAACTTCAGTCCAAATTTTGGTGGTGAAGATAGCTTCATCACGGTCCACGCGATGGAATCCCTCGAGAAATTGACCGAAAACGTGTCTTGAGCACGGGCTGAACTCGCTGGAGTTGTGCACCAAGGGCTGACACGTGCGACATCGCCAAGCACCACAAGAGCATAGGAGGAACATGAGTCGGCCCCAAAAGAGCGGCTCACCCTCACCAGGGCTCTCCGGCTTGCCGCGGCGGGCTAGAGTTTCTTCGATCGCGTTCGGTCCAAAGCAAACCGGGCGAAGACTCTCGATCGGGAGACCGAGTGGACTAGAGGAATTCGTGAATCATCTCACAGTCAGGAGCATTTGTCAAATTGCGAGGCGCCCGAGTCCTCTGGCCACGGTTGGCACCTGTGGTCTTCAGCTAGAAGCATGGACATGTGCGGCGTCAGTGAATATTGGCTCGTAATTCGCCGGCTGGCCTGTCTCTCATCTGAAAGTTGGTGGTGACATTACGGGGCTATACCGCAATGGGGACCGAGCGCCAAGAGCTGCTGGGAAAAGGTTTGGCAACAGACTTTTCGCAACGTGCTGTCGACGCGCATTCCTGGTGGTCGAGACATCGGACCAGCGTTGATCTGGTGGGGGTTGGGCTTGCCGGTGGCTGAGAGAGTTCGAGCGGAAGACTGGAAGCGAAGACCCCTCGTTCGCGGGGATTCCAGAGACGTCTGACTCTTCCCAGTGTCTGTGGAGAAGGTGGACGTCGGTGTCCATGTTGGCAGACCGGAGAGGCAAACCCTTATCGGTAGGTTGGGCGACGGTCGAAGGAGGCGTGCGTGGGGTTATCGTCCATTGGCAACATCGCCTCTGACCAAAAGGCCCGTCAAGAACGCAAGACAGACGAGAAGTTGTGCGCAAAGAGACGGCGTAGCAACTGACGAGAAGAACAAGAAGGGTCTAAAGGGCTTGGCATGGTCTTAATATGTTGTTCGCCAAGTTCGACGAGCAGGGGGGTTCAACAACCAAGTCAAACAACTGTAGCAAACAGATGCCACACGTGGAGGGTTGAAGCCCCATGATTCGTCAACTCCAGATCCTCCCCAGATGAGATTCCACGCCCAAATAAAGCTTGCTGGGTGGGCCCAGAGTCTCGCAGACTAAGCTGCTAGCATGCTAGGGATACCGACATCTTGGCACGCTAGCCGTAAACAACATCCTTGATGCATCCCGTTCGGCCTGCCATCGAGGTCCCATCGTCAATCCTGGAGTGATAGAGTCGATGAAGTGGGTGAGAGGGGGGTGTCCATGTACGAAGAGAAACTTAGTCGGCCATTGACTACACATTGAGCCACGCTTGATTGAGAAGAAGGAGAAAGACATCGGAGCATTGGGGGGGGGGGGGGTGTATCAACAACAATCTGAGTGCTCACTCGGAACCAAGGCTGGTATCTGCTGCAAAGCAGACACCGGTTACTTTCTCTCAGTCAGACTCGCCAAGAGAGCACATAAAAGGTTTATCGTGCGCGCCTTTCCCATCATTCGATGCCTTGCTTGTCCCGTCTTCTCTAGCAAGCACCTCTTCCCCTCCTTTATCGAGACCACAGAATCTGCTCGCCAAGTCACAGCCAAGCGGCAGTCAGTCACAATGGCGCTCGATCAGTACACCTACGTCTTTGCCATTGGCACGTTCTTTGCTATGCTCGATGCATACAACAACGGTGCTAGTAAGTACAGTCCTCCATCGGGCGAAAAGGCGCAGACAAGATAAGCGGTCTGCGGCTGCTGATATACTTTGGCGCTTCAAGACATCAGACACTGACTCGGCTCAACTTTCAGACGATGTCGCAAACGCCTGGGCGACCAGTGTATCATCAAGATCAATTACCTACAGACAAGCCATGATCTTCGGTACCATCTTCGAGATGTTGGGCGCCATCACTGTTGGTGCGCGTACGGCCGACACTATCAAGAACGGTATTATCCCCAACAACGTCTTCAATGGCAACCCCGGCGTTCAGATGCTCGCCTTTACCTGCGCCCTGGCCGCCGCTTCTTCCTGGGTCATGTGGTGCACGCGACACTCTGCCCACGTCTCCTCGACATACTCTCTGGTCTCTGCCGTCGCTGGTGTCGGTGTTGCTGTTGCTGGCGCCGACAAGGTTCAGTGGGGCTGGAACGGCGGCAAGGGTCTTGGTGCCATTTTTGCTGGTCTGGGTATGGCGCCCGCTATCTCAGGCTGCTTCGGTGCCATCATCTTCAGTCTCATCAAGTTCGTGGTTCACGTTCGCAAGAACCCGGTGCCCTGGGCCGTTTGGACTTCGCCTTTCTTCTTCCTCATTGCCGGCACTATCTGCACGCTTTCCATTGTCTACAAGGGCTCTCCCAACCTTGGTCTGAGCAAGAAGCCTGCGTGGTACATCGCTGCTGTCACCATGGGAACTGGTGGTGGCCTTTGCCTTCTCGCCGCGCTCTTCTTCGTCCCCTTCGTCCACGCCAAGGTCATCAAGAAGGACTACACCATCAAGTGGTACCACTTCGTCTACGGCCCTCTTCTCTTCAAGCGTCCCGCTCCCGCCGATGCCGAGAAGGCCAAGGTTCCCAACTACGCCGTCGTCCAGGAAGATGAGAACGAACAGACTCTTCCCTCTCACGAGTCTGTGAAGTCTTCCGAGTCTGGCGATGAGCCTCTCAAGGAGACCCACGAGAAGGAGACCCACGTTCCCCAGGAAAGGTCCCTGGCTGCTGCTGAGATTGGCCAGGGCCCTACCTACAAGCAACTCCAGGCCGAGGGCGAGGCCAGGTTGCACGCAAAGATGATGAAGAAGCGTGGTCCTCTCGGCTGGGCCATGCGCACCCTTCGCGACAACCCAATGGGCGCTGGTCAGATCTACGAGTTTCACAACATGAAGATTGCCCTTAAGCGTATTCCCGCCATGATCACTGTCGGTGCTCTCTACGGTCTTCACTACGACATCCACGCTGCCCAGACTGGCGTCGCCGGTACCCCCGAGGGTGAGCGCATGAAGCGCGTGTACGCCAGCGCTAAGAAGTACCCCAATGAGGTCGAACACACCTACTCTTTCGTACAGATCATCACTGCTTGCACTGCTTCTTTCGCGCACGGCGCTAACGATATCGGCAACTCTGTCGGTCCCTGGGCTGTCATTTACTCTGCCTGGAGTACCGGTGACGCTGCCGCCGCCAAGGCCCCTGTCCCTGTCTGGCAGCTTGCTGTTCTCTCCGCCACTATTTCTCTTGGTCTCATCACATATGGCTACAACATCATGAAGGGTGAGTCTCATCTAATTCAAACTCTAGATAGTCGCGGCACTAACAGACAACAGTTATGGGCAACAAGATCACCTACCACTCCCCCAGTCGTGGTTCTTCTATGGAAATGGGCGCTGCCATTACTGTCCTTGTCTTTTCCCAGTACTCTCTACCCGTTTCTACCTCCATGTGCATTACTGGTGCCACGGTCGGTGTCGGTCTGTGCAATGGTACTCTGAAGGCCGTCAACTTCCAGCGTGTTGGTCTCTTGGTCTTCTCTTGGATCATGACAATCCCCGTCGCCGGCACTCTTGGCGGTGTCCTCATGGGCCTTTTTCTTAACGCTCCTCACTTCTAAGCGCAATCAATTTTACCCCGGTGGGGCTTCCATTTGATACCATCTTCACTAGACACATAATGTACATGAACGAAAAAGGGGCTAGGCACGGCATATAAATAGAGGCGGGTGGCATGTCAGTAGCATCAATACCACAGTTTTGACAATTATAATCTTTGCAATCCGGCCAAGATCTTGGCGCAGTCTGGAAGTAACTGAGCGAAATATGTGACAGTGCAGTCTTGATGAAGAGCGTTTGAAAAAGAATCCCACCAGCGCCGGAGCGGGTGCCCTCTGCGGCCCGTCCCACTCTTCAAGAGCCAAGCTGGGCATGTGACGTGTTCATACGAGAAGATACTAGTGATGTAGCCTCGATCTTCGGGGCTTTCTTGGCAGAAGCAAGCTATCACCGTGTGGTAGATCATGATATCTCCGGGGACGATGCATGGGATTAGCAAAGATGCGGCACAAGGTACAGTAAGTCTATCGAACTGAACAGGTTTTCAATCTATCCCCAACAAACTTGGCAAAACCTAAAATCAGCTCGTTGAAAGAGAGGACATGACATGAGTAGCTTCTCATCTCGTGATTGGGTGCTGGAATTGAAGTTGTCAAGACGTCGTGGGGTAGCGCCAAGCTTTTGTTGTGGCTATGCAAGCGTGGCATCGCCCATCACCTCAATTCCCCATGAGGATGCCAAGATTACACATTCCCACAGTAAGAGCAAGCCTTGAAGAGGGAGGTAGCATGGTAATTGAAGTCGGCAATTGATCGCGTGATCAACAGTGATGCTTCGGCTTGGCGCTCTGCAAAAGCTGTACCTAGTAATCACCTACTCTTCATACCTGAGTCTTATCTGGGGATCCTGATGGGCAGGACAAACGAGGTACGGAGCTCATGTGATTAATTCACTCATACCTAGATCGTCCACTTGCACTGTCGTATTTGACAAACCAGAAGTGTGGCGTGATGAGGACCCCGAAGACCGTTTTCGATTTGCTGTCCAATGTACCTCAAGATGTGTAGTCAAACAAGCCAAGTCAGCGCCAAGGGGAATATCCATCCACATAGAGACCGAAGATCGGGCCTTTGTATGGAAAAGGGCTGTATTATTCTTGCCCGACCCTAGACTTTATCAGCAAAGTCTGAGGGTGTAACGGAGAATAAGACCCTCGTTGCGAGCGGAGTCAACTGCTTGACCAACTGCACTCAAATGAAGTTCTTGCCAATGATTTCTATACAACTCTCACCTCATGATTCATCGAGTATTATACACAGATGCCTTGTCACATGAACCTTGGGTTCTAGTATCGTTGGGTGTCAGACTATGAAGCAGTGGAAAGTCTCTTGCTTCTCTTGTTGAATGAAGTTGAATGCAATTGACTGAGGTCACCTCGGTCTTAAGTATGGAATGATAATGTAGAATCAAGTTCTCAGACCAGCTCAATACATTCTGAATATTTCTGCCCCCAATAACCCACCAGTGACAAACGTGGAAAGGCCTCGTCCCTCTTCCCAACACCGACATGACGTTTAAGAAGATGAAATCTAATTTTTCCCGATATTATTGTATTCATTCTTCCCTGTGTTCTTTGCGTATAGCCTCTACTAAGGCTAGATGTGTGCCTTGTCTATGCAGAATTTAGATCAAGCATAGAATGTGGGCCGCGTACCAGGCGGCCCGTAACACAAATCATCGAAATCGTTGACTGCTCGACTTTGCAACCCTGAACAGCTACGAGAAAAGCGTCCCCTTTCGATCCTCGATTAAGTTTTGCTAAATCATTGCCTATTTGAGGGCGTGCATGCGCTCATCTCGAGGACTATCATCGTATAGCAGCGTAAGATAAGGTAGCTCACTGGCGTGAGTTGTCTACGTAAAACTCATCCAATACATTTTATTTATAGTTCATACTTTATGTAGAAATACGACACATTATTTGCTCAATATGACCAACTTGCTAAGACCATCGCGGAGCACGCATCTTGCTATGTGTTGGTATAGGAGCAAGGACCTTTCATTTGGCTGAGCCTGTGCAGTTGCCGAATGAAGGCCGAAGCTAAGACCATGTTACCAAGGGGCTTTTCACTGAGTTATTGATAGCAACGAAGGTCAAACTTGGCACAATAGAATAAGGTCGAAGAGCTCGGTCATTCACGGCCATGG